TAATTGACTAGGCCTGGTTGACATAAAACTTTGACGGGCCCACTTTTTATCTCAGTCTCACTTAAGGAATATTTAGTGGAAAAGTGAGACTTAGATCAAAAGTGAGCTTGTCTAAGTTTTATGCCCCCAGGCCCGGTTTGATGAATGTAGGTCTAGTATGTTCTAGTCATGAGCCCACTGGCGGATTTGGAAGGGGCCCCAGGCCCCCTCCCTTTTGAGTCCAAAAAATACACAATATTTGATAAATGAATGTTTTAATTGTGGCTGTGGGCCCCTCCCCTGACCTCAAACTGGTTCCCCTTTTTCAGAATTTCTGGATTCAGCACTAGGCCTCAGCCAGTCAGGAGTTTCCATATTTCAAGATATCTTATTTATAGGTCACAGAGACCTACTGTTAACATAATTATGACATGTAAATCAAAATTTCTCGGCCTTATTGTAATAATGTTATGATATGAGCCAACATGGAAAAAGAACAAGCCAGATAATTGGACATGAACAACATAATATAGTACAGTTTGTCTTAAACCTTTGTGATACAAAATGGGGTGACCTAGCTTGAAAGCAACACAGATTTTTTTTTAAGTAATACAACTTCATTAACATGCAATAAATGCTCGTGCCAGAACACAATTTTTTTAGTGTAATAAAATATTATATGCTTTCTTACTTTATGTAAACAGAACAATAAAATTCATAAGACTTGCTATTTCAAAAGTTTTTGTTTTTGGAGAACTAGAGTATTGCTTACAATAACAAAGATATATCTTGACAAATTTGACAACTAATATTTCTGGAAGTATTAAATGTAGTATTTTATCATATGACAGATTTAACCCAAAAAATGTCTTTCTTTACTCGTATACCAGTGGAAATGGTTGTCCTTTTCAATTTATCTGTTTAAAACAATCATTAACAATGAGACATGATTACAAATTATGTAGAGAAAAAGTTATAAATATATAACTATGATTTCTGCTTTTCAGTAACTGTTAAAACAATCACTTTACCAGTAATGTAGGGTAAAAAAAATGACATGAATACCAATGATAAGAAATACATGTAATCTTGTATATAAAAAAATTATTAAAGTTTGAGATGTGAAAGAGGTAAAACACAAATATCAAATGCAAATAAGGATAAACGAAATGACAATAAGACAACTTATTTCAGAAGATATAATTTTTAATTATTAATCAGGATATAATGTGATAAATCATGTAAATCCTATGAACCAAGATTTGGGTTGTAACCAAGGGTCAAACGTAACAGATGCATATTGATCTCAGTATCAGAGTTGCCGTTTGTTTCTCTCCTATCTTATGTGAGGGTACGCCAAACACTCAAACCGCTTGTAGAAAGTGTAAATTTATTTTCATTTGTTTCCTAAAATTATACATATCAAATAAACAATTCAAAACTAGACTGTAAATATTCCTAAAGATAAAAATACTATATACATTTGTTTATTCATCGATCCTTGTCAGATTACAAACCTCACAAGAAACCTATTGACGCAAGCGTCAAAAATCGGCCGCAAATCAATTTATCGGTCCTTTCAAGAAGAAATTAGAAAAGGAATGAAAAATGAGATTACAAACAGCAATCAAGCACAAAAAATTCCAATAAAACTGAAATGCTTGATCTATTATTAAAATATCTTATATTTATCCCTGTGACATAAAACATTTGCATGCAACATTGCAGGATTTTCTTCAATACATAATACAGTACATTGCATAGTCATCTGCGTCTCCACACTTAGTTTGATACAGGCGAATTCTGGTGGAAGTTTTTACAATTAAATATATAACTAAAGTTTAAACTTATCTGTAACTAGAGATAGTTTTTTAGCAATTGATAAGTGGGGCTCCTCGATCACTCTCCGCGGATGTTAAAACCCCCCAAACTCCCTCTAGATCCGCCACTACATTTCTTCTCGTTCTTGGTTTGGTGTGAGAATCGGTGGGAAAAGGCTCGGCATATTGTAAAACGCGCTTTATCATCGTCTGTTGGAACAAAATCTCCTAATATTCTGTCTGGTAAAAAATTAACATTAAATCACCTTTTTTTTTTTTACATATTCCGTAGGAATTGTATTTATATACACGTCATTTTAAATATATTCGACAAATCCTGTTTATTGAGAAAAAGTAGAACTGTTTGTTTATACTTGTATGTGACGCGATCTTTGCTTTAGACTATGCCTATCCTTGCGGCCGGTGTACCAGTAAAACTCAGAGTCACTCTAAAAATAATTCCCAAGGTAATGAAAACAATTCCACCGATAGATGGTGCTTGGTGAATCCTCATTATTTATGTCATGGGCAAGACAATCCCAATACCCGGAGGCTGTCATACAGCCTCCGTCTAAAAAGAGAGAACTTGTGGACTTTGGCTATGAAGCAGAGGATCGGTATACAGAACTTAATGAAGAAGAAAAAAAGGAGGACTATTACTATTTCTATAGATTTAAAATTACACTTAATGACAAGATCAAGACATCTGTTGGTATTCCGGGGTAAAAAGTCAAAAGTAAAAATCTATAATTGTTTATAAACCAATAATAAGTGCAGACTTGAGCAATCAAAGTAAACACGATGCGTTTATTTCTGTAGCTCGCATTTTTTTAGAGTAGAGTAACCTCTCTCTTTCTTTGCAGAGATACATATGAATTTGTTTACAAATCTCTCTCTCTCTCTCTCTCATTTAAATTCGTAACTGCTTTATTAAAACCTGTAAGCTGGTTAGTGAGAGAGGACGCTTGTTTTAACTCTTTACATCATGGTTACGTCAGCTTTAGTATCCTTCCCCTTTGGCTTTTCTTTCATTTACAGACACTGACCTTGAGCACAACAATTCCAGATATTCATGGTAAAGAATTACCAGCAGTAGAAGTTTTCTCACATGCTATCAGATTCCTCAAAAATCGTTTATTGAGTGGATTTTAAAAAAGAACATTAGATGAAAATGTTAAAATGGAAATTTGTTGGATTTTGACAATTCCTGCAATTTGGGACAATCCTGGTAAACACTTCCTCAGAGAAGCTGCAAAAATAGTGAGTAGTTACAGTAAAACTCGTGTAGTGCGAACACGCGAATTCACCGATATAGCGAAGTTTGTTTGAATCCCCAACTATAAGTAGTAAGGGCGGACGTATACCCCCCCCCCCTAACAATGGGTGTCCATTGTGTTGGAGAACAATAGGAGAACAATGGGGTGACCCTGACCGAGATCTAGTTAACGATATGACCCTGACCGTATCGGTTACTGAGAATGAGCACGGGTATTTAAATGATGGTGAAATGGGATACAGGAGCACTTACACGAATGGATGAACACGGGTATTTAATTGTCAGAGTTGGGAGGGAGAGCAAGAGAAGGGCAACAAGTACTCTAAGACTTTGTCATAAAAAAAAATGTTGAGATTGCTCGCGCGTACCGCCGCCGGCCGGAAACCGTGGACTCCGGAGACCGAAGCTACCGGAAACCGTGGACTCCGGAGACCGAAGCTACCGGAGACCGTGGATTCCGGAACCCGCGGACTTCCGAACTATTTTAGATGATAAATCGTAAATTTTTGGACCAAATTGCGCAGACTTGCTTTAATTTGTGGGTTTTCTTGGGATATAGCATATAGTACCCCTGTACTCGCAAATCCTTTCATTACTGCAGAGGATGGCAACAGCACACATTCTCAGATCTTCTGAAAGCAAAGATGTGTTCCCAGGCAATCAACCATACGATTTTACGGTCATATTACCAAAATGGTTGGTGTTTACGGACCAATGGACTGTAGAACTAAGCGAATTCTATGTCAAGGGCATTGCCAAAACCACAAAGAAAGAGCTCTTTATCTACTGCGACGACCCCGTGGGGACCCGGGTTAGAATAGGTCCTCAGTATCGCCTGCTTGTCGTAAAAGGCGACTAAATGGGGCGGTCCTTCGGATGAGACCGTATAAACCGAGGCCCCGTGTCACAGCAGGTGTGGCACGATAAAGATCCCTCCCTGCTCAATGGCCCTGAGTGCCAAGCATAGGCCTAAATTTGCAGCCCTTCACCGGCAATGTTGACGTCTCCATATCAGGGAAATATTCTGGAGAGGGACGTTAAACAGTATACAATCAATCAATCTACTGCGACGTCTGTGACACAGTGTCCGTGGTGAGCCAACAGTACAGACCATTACTGAGGCATATTGTTTTGGAGCCTAACAGGAATCAAATCTTCACGAGACCATTCCAAATGCCACTGCGAATCCAAGAGTTTGAAAAAATTCACATAGAAATCAGAGATAAAGACAATGAACCAGCTACATTTTTGAACGGAGAGGTCGTACTAACTCTGAATTTTCGATTGTCAGCCATAGGTAATCAATCGTACTTCATCTACTTAAAAGGATATTCGTTAAGACGCGTCCTTCATTCGTGTTTCCGACTATGGCATGTCAAACGTTGCTATATTCGATAATCTTGTGATGTATGTTCGAAATCTTGTGATGTATGTTCGAAATCTTGTGATGTATATTCAAAATCTTGTGATGTATGTTCGAAATCTTGTGATGTATATTCAAAATCTTTTGATGTATATTCAAAATCTTGTGATGTATGTTCGAATATCTTGTGATGTATATTCGAAATCTTGTGATGTTTATTCTATAATCTTGTGATGTATATTCTATAATCTTGTGATGTATATTCAATATCTTGTGATGTATATTCGAAATCTTGTGATGTATATTCTATAATCTTGTGATATATGTTCAAAATCTTGTGATTTATATTTAATATCTTGTGATGCATATTCGAAATCTTGTGATGTATGTTCAATAATCTTGTGATGTTTGTTCAATAATCTTGTGATGTATATTCGAAATCTTGTGATGTGTGTTCTACAATTCAGTGATGCGTGCAATATGACGCAACAGTTTTATAAGAAAGTAAGGACAATTTTCATTGGTTAGAAATAACGAAAGTAGCTGGAGCGATTGGGGAAAACTATGCAGCAGAAAAAACAGTCAGTCAGTTTGTTTATTACAGCACTAATTACGAGATACACGAATGTTGACCCTGGTGACATGATGGAGATATTTCGGCCTGCTAGGGAAAATACTCAGTAAACGTAGGTATATTGACAAAATTTGTAGGTACTTGTAACGATATGTGACGATGCTGCATTGTCAGATATTTATACATAACGTTACATGCTAAAAAGTTAAATCTCGTCGTAATTAATCAATATAGCAGAAGAATAATGAAGAGTAAATACTACAAAAACTGTGCAATTTGTAACAAGGTTAATTTTTGTTTAACAGGTGTTTTTATTACATTTTATTTCGTATTATTACTACCAAGTACTGCTACCGTTTGTTAATGTTATGCACATGGTTATCTTGTACTTGCAAGTAAATGTAACATTTAATAAAATATTGAAAAAATAAGTCATTTAGGCTATGATTTGATAATAACATGCCAAATGAACATATTTTGCTTTTTAATTCTCCTTCACTCAGTCTTTGTATAATATATTTTTAGACGAGCTGATCGCCAACCAGGAGATCAGAATGATATCATCTGCTCCTGCCACTTTAAGGATGGTAAGAAGGAGGGGGACCCTGCATATTTTGCATGGAATGAAGGAAAGGCCATGGATTTCTCTGATCCTGAATGTACAAAAAGGTGAAATTATTTTTCAAAATATGACCGACATCTTGTTTTTGGATGGTGGGTGGGTGGAGTTTAATACGTAATATCGCGATTACCTCGCAGTTATCTAACTTACTGCCGCTCTTTTGCGGGGGAGTCGAGTAAGCTCAAATTTCACGAGATTACCGGGGCACATGACATTGTTTACAGTAGTAACAATCGAATGATTTGAACAATTTTATGCCGAAAGTACAATGTATTGCCAAGAATTGAATTCCAAATAGTAGATTGTCAAATAAGGAAAGTTTAGATTATTTTATCAGGTGTAAAATGCCACGATTTTCAATGAAAATTTAATAAGAAGAGCCCGCTTAGTTAAACATATAGTAAAAAATGTAACATTTAAGGATTAGCTCCTCTCAAAAATTAATTAGGCTGGTTCAGCGATTGTTAAGGAAGGTATTCCACCAGGATTTTTTAGTTATCTGTCCTTATAAATTCTACAGTGATCGATCTTGCATTGTATTCAATAACACATTTGCCCCCAGACAACAGACGTTCCCTACCTCCATCGCGAAAGAGTTCCACTAAGTTAAGTAATCGCGATATCAAGTATTGAGAATATTTTACTAAAAATCTTTAAAAGGATACATGTATAAACAGAGTAGCTTACAACTGAATAAACAAGATGTGTTTGTAACACACTGATGCCCCCTTATGGCAACATAGCAAAGATTAAGCTTTTCTTAAATGCAAATTTAATTAATTGGTACCAAAAGTAGGGTATTCTCACTGGGAAACAATTGTGAAATTTGAAAGTAAGCTAATGTTAAAGTTTTTCATTAAGTACAAAAATCTCCAAGGTCAAGGTCAAAAGGTCAATGTAATTAGTATCAAATGAAAGGTCTTAACACATAAAATACTTATGTAGAGCATGAAAGCCCTAGCCCTAACCATTCAGAAGTTATGGTCAACGTTCAATTTCTTAAAAAGTAGGTCAAACTCCAAGGTCAAGGTCAAAGGGTCAAAATTATTGTTATAAAATGAAAGGTCTTTTCATTAGGATCAAATATGTAAAGTATGAAAGCACTAGCCTTAACTCTTTAAAAGTTATGGTCAAGGTTTGCTTTTTTTAAAGTAGGTCAGTCTCAAAGATCAAGGTCAAAAGGTCCAAGTTCTTGGTATCCAATGAAGGGTCTTCTCACAAGAATTACATATATGAAGTATGAAAGCCTTACAAGGTCAAGGTCAAAGGGTCAAGGTTGTTGGTATTCAGTGAAAGGTCTTTTAACAAACATAACATATGTGAGGTATAAATGTCCTGGTGTCTACTGTTCAAAAGATATGGCCAAAGTAAAATTTTAAAATTTTCACGTAAAAGTAAGTGGGTCAATCTCAAAGGTCAAGGTCAAAGGGTCCAAGTTCTTGGTATCCAATGAAGGGTCTTCTCACAAGAATTACATATATGAAGTATGAAAGCCCTATCCCTTACCGTTCAAAAGTTATGGCCAAGGTTAAAGTTTTTTCACTAGTACGAAAATCTACAAGGTCAAAGGGTCAAGGTTGTTGGTATTCAGTGAAAGGTCTTTTAACAAACATATGTGAAGTATAAATGTCCTAGTGTCTACTGTTCAAAAGATATGGCCAAAGTAAAATTTTTAAATTTTCATGTAAAAGTGGGTCAGAATCCAAGGTCAAAAGGTCAAATTTGGTGGTACCTAAAGAAAGATCTTGTCACAAGAAATATACATATGAAATATGAAAGTCATAGCTCTACTAAATCAAAAGTTATGGACAAGGTTAAAGTTGTTGCGGACAAACAGAGAGACAGACAGACAGACAGACACGAAAAAAACAAAAAAATAATTCAAGTTTAATTATTTTACAAAGGAGGAAAAAACTCAAAAGTGAGGAGTCCCTGTCATCTTCACAGATGGACCAGTTGCAGATTCCACAAGCACCAAAATGTCAGGATCAAGAAAAAGTAAAGCTCATTTAAAACACCATTGATGACAAATGACCAACACTAAAACATTTTCAATAATTCTTAAATTTAATAATATAACAGTTCTTTTAACTGTACATCGAATTACACTGTACTCATGATTTACAATATATTTTCAGTTGATATCAGAGCACAACTACTCAGCATCCTTCACATTTAACTGTACTCAAGAGATGCAGCACCTCTCAACAGAAATACAACAACTGGAAAAGGAATTGCTTGCCCTAAAAATAGAGTCTAGTAAAAGGAAGCTAATGTCAATTCATGATAATAAAGACAACAAAGAGAAGGTACATTTAAAGGAATTCCAATTGTGATTTCCTTTTTCCTAACAATTTCAGTAAAACTTGTTGCCGTTGAGGGATGAACATCTTAGATTGACTGTTATGTTAACATATTTTGTTATTAACGTTGAGTTCATAATATGTAATTTAAAATAACAGAGAAAAAAATCATTTAATTTGCTCTTTGGGTGAAGAATATCTAAAATTTTCTCTGTATAAACCATGTTTTACTCTATGACAACAATTATCAGAACACTAAATGTCTCATTTTAACAGTTTTTAAATAAATGCATAATATGGATAGTAGCAAACCTGACTGTGACTAATATTGTTATTACTTGAAACTAATTTATTTACAATCTTTTCAGTTTTTGGAAATATTTTAATCAGTATTAAAACAAATTTATTTTCAGATGCTTTTGTATACATCCCTACAGTATGACATATTCGAAATCTAAAGTAAGTTTGTTACAACGATTTGAACTCGATTATTATAATGGCTGGACTCCTTCAATGAAAACAGCTAGAGGACCAACTGCTCATTGTACTTAAGTGAAGTTAAAACTCAATCTGCGGGACACTGACTTGGCTCATAGATTCTGTGTCAGTCAACCAACAGTTTTGAACATCTTTCATACCCTTGTTCATGCACTACACAAGATGCTGTCTGATGGCGTAGTCAATGAATGTTTTCCAAGTCAGCTAAAATGCAAAGGTTTGTTTTAAAATTTATCATAATGACTTGCAAAAATTTTATGCAGTTAAAGAGCTAAAGCCACGAACTATCAATATCTGCCTTTAATTTTAGACAAAATTTAAGTTTGAAATCACAAAGCCTATCATATGTCATTTTGTAATACACAATGTCATGGTGCGCTACAAATAATTTTTTGGCACACAGGCCACCGTCATTAGCACATGCGCAGAGACAAATATACTTATGTAGTTAAAAAATGCTTAAAAAACGCCGATTTTACGGCAGTTATTCCGAAATTTGAATTTGGCCACACTCAAGTACCCTTTCCAAACTTTTCATGCATAAAAATATTACATAAATGCACCTTTATGCAAAATATCTTAGAGGTACTCGCGTGTGGCCAATATGAATTTTACAATTTAAGAACGTTGAGCTTTCAGAAGTTGAAGCAAGGTCCTCCCTTTTAATAGTAATTATAAGTTAATCATATGCGTAAATACCCTAAATTAGTTATTAGTATATCAAATTTATTCTTGATAATTATATAATCCCCAATTTGTCAATAATATTTTAATAGAATTTCTTAAATTGCCATTTAATATATGTTCTTTCATATAAAATTTAAAATGACGCTCTTTTTTTTCATGCTTACGTACATGATACCATGATGACGTCATAATATGACCGTGAGGCCTACTGAATCTGAGCAAAAATAATTTGAAGAAGTTTGTCAAAATAATTTCATAATTAGAAAAAAAGTGTTGAGAATTGATTTGTGCCGAGTTTCCAATTTGTTGCCAGCACTAGATGTTGAATGTTATACCTTGTTTCAAATCAAAGCCTAATCCGAAGTTTATATATCTAAAATGCATGCAACTCTATGACTCTGTATTCTAGGATACGTAAAAGAATAAATAGTTTGATTTGTTTACACACTGATAATTCAAATGAAGAAATATATGCCATTTATGAATATTATGCATTCAAGATTCAGTAAATATTAGTTAGCTAACATTATTTTAAAACTCTACGCTCTAAAACGCTTGCTCTCTCTCTCTCTTTCTCTCTCTCTCTCTCCGTAGCTTTTCCCTTCTTTATTAGCCCACCGAGGTATTACGATGTCTTAGAATTTTTTATTTGGACATCTAATTTACAAGATCAACTTACATATTTGACGACGTCCTTTATGAAGTGTAAGAACCATTTCATGAATACTAAAAATATTATACAATTCTGAAAAGAGCTTATTTATAGAGACAGTTTTTACGTTAATTTGATTTTTTGCGGAAGGGGGACTGGGAGGGCATACCTTTAAAAATGATACGACGCAGAATTTTTTTTCCCGAACGAAAAAAAGACAGAAAAATCTATTGCTAATCTAATAACTCTGAAACAGAATAACTCCGGATGATCTATCCGCACACGTATGTATACATTATAGAAGAAATACGTCTCGTAACTACTATAGAAACTGCGGTCAAATGTGTCCGAAATTCTGTAACATCTGAATGCATTATGAGTTAAATACCGAGATTACCTGATTGAAAAAAAAGGTATCAAATGTGTCCGAAATTCTGTAACATCTTAATGCATTTTGAGGTAAAAACCGAGGTTATCCGATCGAATAAAATAAAAAAAGGTGTCAGACTCACGATTTGCAAATATATGATTAAAAAAAAACAACATTGATCTTGAACCCTAATTTACTTTTAGTAGTAATTCTTAATCACATCTAGGGTGATCAGACATAACATGGATCGTACAGACTTAAGAAACAGGATAACTGAATTATCTATAGTTAGAAGAAAATCTCTGCGGAAGTGATGTGAAAGTGTTATTTGGGGATGACAATTATTAAAAATAAGTGTTAAAAAATTAAGCTTTTATTTTCACTACATTCTATATACATATCACCTATATATATCTACATATGATATTTATATATGAACGCGAATTGGGACATATATTTTTGTTACCTAGAATGCCCCTTCACTATGACTAGTAGTTAGGCTGGTTTCGCTTCAAATATAAAAAAAAACTGTGGCAAGGTAGTGATTTTCACGGATAAAGGAACAGGAAGAGAAAAAAAACGGCGATAAAAAAATCTTTTGAAAAAGTAGAGGAAGTGGTCGAAATATAATTCGTCGCATTCCCGGGTTGTACTATGTGCATGGCGATTTTAAATATTTTTTTTATAAACACACATGAGTGTGATATTGGAGACAAGCAACAATCCTTTGCTTATTAAAATACTTGATTTTTTTTTACAATAAACATAGGCGCAGATTTGTTTTAATGCAGTACACAATAATATAATTTAAGATGAAAGGATTAAAACGCCTTACGCCCCCCCCCCCCCAAGACAAAATAGAAGCGATAGCGATATAGAACATGAAAATTTTGCTTAAAGGACAAGATAAATACCTGAAAGAAAAAGAAAAAAAAATAAATTAAAATGCGTGTGATATCAATATTATCTAGCGGACTACGAAATACCTGGTAATATAACTAGAAAAACTCGAATTTAGAGCTACAATTTATATGTACTTTAAATCTTTGAAATCAAATTCATTTTACTTACAACCCCCTCCTTTTCTTTAAAACTTCACAAATTCTGCAATACATATATTTTATTGTCAAAATGCACGAATAAATCGGGGTTCGTCACATACACAAAAACATACGTACTCACTTTGATAATTCTATTTCTTTATAATAGGCCCAGATTCTTGTTAAGAAAGAGATTTAATAATTACTGCACCCGGCTTCACTTTTTATTTATCCAGTCACAAAATTTGAAAACTTTTCAGAATTTATTATTTTAGATAATAATTATGTTATATAATGCAGTGACATATGTCTAAAGTATTAAATACTTTTGAAACTACATCATTTAAAGAAAAAAAAACAATTGTAACGCTCGGATTTACAAAGGTAAGAAGTTACTGTAGAATGTTCTGTTGCAAAGGACTTTTTACGATGTTATGACGTTACGTTACAAATAATGACGTTCCTCATGTAATTTCATTCAAAACAATACCATACTGTTAAGTCTCTTCTTGAAAAAGTATAATAGATATCTAAAAAAGGAAAACAGTTCTGAAAAGCTACAAGTCTACACTATCTTTATTGAACTTCTCATTGATTTTTTAGTTAAGGCATATTTCGATGATTCGTGGCTTTAGCTCTTTATTGTATTCTTGAATGTTTGACTGTAAGGCCCAGAAAAAAAATATGTTTGTTTCCGCTTTCCCGACCTACCCTAATTTATAGTGCCGACCCTAAATATTTTTTTAATGCTTTTGTCCCATGATGTGCAAGATTTCATCCAGGGAATTATAGTCTCCAACTTTGCAAGCTTTTCAAGACCGAAAGAATTTTGGGTCACCTTTCTATTACATGTATCAGTTTAAGTCACAGAAATGCCTAAAAACACCATTTCTTTTGTCATTAATGTTAATTCTATACATGTTTTGATTTTTTGATTAAAGAAGCAAAAAAAAAATTTTTTTCAAAAAAAAAAAATTTTTGCCTACCTACCCTATATCTTTTCAGCCTGTAAGCGGAAACAAACATATATTTTTGGTAGGCCTAACACAATCTTTTTTACACAATTACAAATAATCAAATTAATTTTTTTCCAACTTTTTTTCAGGGTCTCTGCTAAAATCTTTTGAGGATTTTTCCTGTACTAGAGCATCCATGGATGCAATTGAAACAACCCAGGACATCCCAACACATATGGACAATCAGGCCATGGCCTACAGTATGTACAAAAGTCGCCATACTGTTAAAGCAGTGACTTGCATGGCTCCAAACGGTGCACTTACATTTTGCTTCATGCTGTACCCAGGTTCTACTTCTGATGTAGCTATTGTACGTCACAGCCAAATTTTACGAAAGTTCAAAGCTGGAGACCTTATTTTGGCGGACAAAGGTTTCACCATTCATGACCAGTTGCCCCAGGGTGTCTGCTTTAATATACCAGCTTTTTTATCGACACGAGGTCAGTTTACCAAACAAGAAGCAGCACTGTGTTACAAGATTGCTAAAGCACGTATTCATGCGGAAAGAGCCAACGAGAGGATAAAGAATTACAAGATTCTCCGTCACATCCCATCTACTTACAAGATTCTCCGTCACATCCCATCTACTTACAGACCAACAATATTTCAACTGTGTTCTTGTCTTGTAAACTTGCAAGCTCCACTTTTGAAAGAAATTACTTAAAGATACATGTACTTATTATAAATTTGCATTGGTGTGTGGCAGTATGTTTTTATTACAAGAATGTTTGGCAATTCCATTCTTCATTTGACAATATAATTTGGAAGAGGGTTTACTTATAATTTTAAATCTCTAGTTTCAAATATATTTACCTTTAAGGACATACGCAACGTACCTTACCTACTGATAATTTTCCAAGATATTCTAAATTTAAACTTATAATATCATTACATGTTCTTAGACAAAAAATCAGCATGTGTCACCAGGGGTTTTGAAAAGATATCGAATTTTGAAAAAATTTGCATTATTCAAATAAAAATGTACAAAAATTATAAAACATAAATTCCAGATTTTTTTTCATCAAAAATTGTTTTAGAAAAGGTGTACAAATCCATATATAAACGTTAAAAAAATTGCACACATGTCCTTCATTTAGTGGAACTCTTCAACTCCAGGGAAGAATCCAAAAAAGTTCAAACTACGTTGCGTATGACCTTAAAGCACAACTCAACAAATTCATGTTTTTAACAATTTATTTATAACAAAGACAAAAATGTTACATTTTCACTTTGAGAATAACATCTTCAATTCATTAATAAAATGATTCTAAATTTCGATATTCTTTTTTATGTAGTACATAGATTTTATTAATCATCATTGCTATTTAAAATAGTCTTATAAGCCAGAAGTTTTATGATGGGTTGTGACATATCATATCATACATTTATAAGACTTAGGAACATTCAACACGTTTAACATAATTACCCATTTTCCATTGTTAGAAAATTCTAGAGGTTTCACTTTGAGAATAACATCTTCAATTCATTAATAAAATGATTCTAAATTTCGATATTCTTTTTTATGTAGTACATAGATTTTATTAATCATCATTGCTATTTAAAATAGTCTTATAAGCCAGAAGTTTTATGATGGGTTGTGACATATCATATCATACATTTATAAGACTTAGGAACATTCAACACGTTTAACATGATTACCCATTTTCCATTGTTAGAAAATTCTAGAGGTACAAAACCAAGTGTCAAGAAGTTCAAACCAGAACTCAGTTTTCCATCAGTGCTGGAATGAAAATGTTAAAGTAGAAATCTATCAGCTTTGAAACATTTGCTGTCCATTCAATGTCTTTTACTATTCTAATCACAATGCAGTCTACTCTTGTCCACACAATTAAGTCGCAGCATGTTTTGTTACATATGTGTAGCTGGCCTTGAATTTGATGATAGTATGGGTGACTGGTTTTCAGGCACAGGGTATCTTGTTTAAGATCTAAAAAAATCAAAAAACACTTAAGTTGTGTTATACCAATTCATATCCCCTCCTTTTTCCACATCTTCATACCATATTGAACAGTTGCACTTGTAAATTAATACATGTATTAAAATCATTTACTCACCAAGATTTTTAATTTCAAAGTACTGGACAATACAGATTAAAATACAATTTATAAATTGTTATTTACCTATAAAAAATCCTTCAAATTTTGTGCCCCATCTGCTACTGTTGAAGATGATGCTGTATATGGACACTCCACCTCTACAATATCAGGAATGGCGTCTTTGGCTTCTGGAGTTTTATAAAATACACTGCCTGTTGGTGGTCGAACAACTAAGCCATCAGGTGAAGCTCCTAACACTCCGGATTCATGCAACCATATCCCTTTCAGAAAAAATTATAATACTACTGAATGCAAACAAACCATAATACAATTGATTTTGTAATGCAAACAAAGTCTAAGTAGAGCTTTTATAATCCTTCCACTTCAAATAGATTTCCAGCAAATTTTCTGGAATATGTTGGTAATTGAATATTTTTTTTTACAATTAGACTTCAGTAATTAATTTCTGTTTGTCACCAGGATAAGTCCTGTAATTTGTTTTGACACAATGAATGTTAACATGTCAGAGATTGAAGGAATATTATTTTGTGCTGTACACCTGACTGCTCTACAGCTGCATCAAAGTCCTTTTCATACTTTCTCAAAGCATCATCTTCACGAGTGATACCCCATGCAACAGCCTTGATGGACTCCAGATTGTAAGCTGACATAAGCTGTTTTTTCAGTGACAATGTCAATCTGAAGAAGAAAATATGATTTTTAGCTCACCTGAGCCGAAGGCTCAAGTGAGCTTTTCTGATCACATTTTGTCCGTCGTCCGTCCGTCTGTCTGTCCGTCTGTAAACTTTTCACATTTTCAACTTCTCAAGAACCACTATGCCAATTTTAACCAAACTTAGTACAAAGCATCCTTGGGTGAAGGGAAATTTAAATTGTTAAAATTAAGGATCAGGTCCTCTCACAAGGGGAGATAATCAAGAAGAGACAAAAATAGGGTGGGGTCATTAAAAAATCTACTTCTCAAGACCCACTGTGCGAGAAAAGCTGAAACTTATATGGAAAGCATCTTGGGGTAGTGTAGATTCTAAATTGTTCAAATCATGATCCCCAGGGGAAGGGCGGGGCCACAATGGGGAATCAAAGTTTTACATAGAAATATATAAGAAAAATCTTTGAAAATCTTCTTCTCAAGAACCACTGGGCCAGAAAAGCTGAAACTTATGTGCACATGCATGGAAGGATCATGGGTCAGTGTAGATTTCAAAATGTCTTAATTATGATCAGTGGGGTAGGGTGGGGATGTATTATGTATTACAAGGGGGAAATCTGGTAAAGAACAGAATGGTCAAAGCTTTTAAGGTGAGCGATGTGGCCCGTGGGCCTATTGTTTTTATTAATCTTATATTTCCTGCATCTATATGTACAAAAATCTGTGAGCCAATGCTCACTAGTAATACCCCCTCTCTGATGTAAATAAGCACTATCATGTTAATATATATACCCAAGTTCAATTACAGGCAGATGCACAGAAAAATATGAAGTTGACATCAGATTTATATCAAAATTAATCCCACCATATGGCATGCCTCAACAAAAGGTGTAATAAAATTTCAAACATCCGCTATGAATAGCTAATGAGAAAACTGCAACGAAAATTTGTTATGTGTGATACAGACAGACACACAGACAAACAGGAAGTTGAACTTCAAAATTACTTTGACATATCCATGGAATTTGAGATAATGGGTTTGAGATAACAAAGTTTGACTGTAATTTAAAAAGTCTATTTCGCAAAAAAATTTAATCACCGCCTTTGCTTAGAACAGAGAACTGCACCAAAGTTGGAAGCTGTTATTCTGTATTTCCTTACAATAGACCACATTGGGTTGTCTCGTTGCCCAGTTGTTTCCAATGCAGCTCTTTTAATGGCTTCATCTGACAGGGATAATGCATGTCGTAACCATACTATAGGGGTATCAGAATGAACATAATCTGGTGATGTCAACAGGTCTTCAGTGAGAGGTACAGGTGGACCAGGTTCACATGGCTCTGGTTCAAGAATCCATTTCAATTCTGAAAAATTTCATTACTTGTGTCATTCTCAAAAATAATATCCATAATATCCATATGACATATACCAAGTAATTAATATACGAGTCCATACATTTCATTTTAGTGAACACTGTAATGGGTTTTTGTAATGTATGCATTACATATCAAATTTACAACTCACTTGCATATATTTGTCCAGAATTGTTCCTGTATATTGCACGTGGCATTCTTAGTGTGAAAGTGCCATGGAAAAATTGGTGCAAATGTACAATTAATATTTACTAAATTATTAACAAGGTTTCATAATGACAGAGTATTAGAATGATAGAAGAATGGTTTGATAATTCGCAAGAATATGAAACAAAATATTTTGATCTGATAATTCGCAAGAATATGAAACAAAATATTTTTATGCCCCCGTAAACAAAGTTTTGGGGGTATATAGTTTTTGTCGTGTCTGTCTGTCTGTCTTTCTGTCTCTCTGTTTGTCTGTTTGTCCACAAAAACTTTAACCTTGCCCATAACTTTTGATTTAGTGGAGCTATGACTTTCATGTTTCATATGTGTATTCCTTGTGACAAGACCTTTCTTTGGGTACCACCAAATTTGACCTTTTGACCTTGCCCTTGGAGTTTGACCTACTTTTACATGAAAATTTAAAAATTTTACTTTGGCCATATCTTTTGAACAGTAGACACCAGGACATTTATACTTCACATATGTTATGTTTGTTTAAAGACCTTTCACTTTATACCAACAACCTTGAACCTTTGACCTTGACCTTGTAGATTTTCGTACTTGTGAAAAAACTTTAACCTTGGCCATAACTTTTGAACGGTAAGGGATAGGGCTTTCATACTTCATATATGTAATCCTTGTGAGAAGACCCCTTATTGGATATGAAGATTCTTGACCCTTTGACCTTGACCTTTGAGATTGACCTAATCTAAAAAAGCAAACCTTAACCATAACTTTTAAAGACTTAGGGCTAGTGCTTTCATACTTTACATATTTGATTCTAATGACAAGACCTTTCATTTGATAATAATAACTTTGACCCTTTGACCTTGACCTTGGAGTTTGACCTACTTTTTAAGAAAAATTTTTAAATTTTACTTTGGCCATATCTTTTGAACAGTAGATAGGAGGACATTTATACTTCACATATGTAATGTTTGTTTAAAGACCTTTCACTGGATACCAACAACCTTGACCCTTTGACCTTGACCTTGTAGATTTTGTACTTGTGAAAAAACTTTAACCATGGCCATAACTTTTGAACGGTAAGGGATAGGGCTTTCATACTTCATATATGTAGTCGTTGTGAGAAGACACTTCATTGGATATGAAGATTCTTGACCCTTTGACCTTGACCTTTGAGATTGACCTACTTTAAAAAAAGCAAACCTTGACCATAACTTTTAAGACTTAGGGCTAGTGCTTTCATACTTTACATATTTGATCCTAATGACAAGACCTTTCATTTGATAACAATAACTTTGACCCTTTGACCTTGACCTTGGAGTTTGACCTACTTTTCAAGAAATTGAACGTTGACCTTAACTTCTGAACAGTTAGGGCTGGGACTTTCATGCTCTACATAAGTATTTTATGTGGCAAGACCTTTCATTTGATACTAATTACATTGACCTTTTGACCTTGACCTTGGAGATTTTTGTAATTATTAAAAAAAACTTTAACATTAGCTTACTTTCAAATTTCACAATTGTTTTCCATTGAGAATACCCTACTTTTGGTACCAATTAATTAAATTTGCATTTAAGAAAAGCTTAATCTTTGCTATGTTGCCATACGGGGGCATCAGTGTTTTACAAACACATCTAGTTTTTAATGCAATTGAATGATTTTTTTTCCTTTCAAAAATGTATGTGCATGTACAAATATGCTATCATATTTATAATATTGTCTTTCCAATTATTCAAAGATTATTATTAATATTTATTACATAGTATGTTCAAAAATTAGGCAATATACATAGCCAACTATATTATGCTCCTAATCTTTGTACATTTGTTCACAATGAAAATTAACCATCGGTCAGTAACAAAATAACAGTTTCATAATACTCTTAATGTAAAAATCAAATCAAACTTAAATAACAACAATAGTAACACCAAAATCATAACTTCCTTCTTAATTTTACCTATAAACCTTGCAAGCTTTGCTAACCCTTGGTACAAAAAACTCCGGTCACTTTCATCAAAGGGTCAGTTTAAAGCACTTCAAAAATGGCAAATTTTTTTTTTTACGACTGATTTATTTATTTTTTAATGATTGATAATTTTTTAAAAAAAACAAGAGGCCCATGGGCCACATCGCTCACCTGAGCACTGTGGCTAGGAAAAAGTAAAAATTGGTTTATTATTGAAAAGTTTAAATCCAAGTCCCATGATCAATCATGGCTTTGCTTGTCTTCAGAAGGTTATTTTTAAAGAATTCTCCTATATATTTCTATTTAAAAATTTGACCATCCCTTGTGGCCCCGTCCTACCCCTGGGGGTCATGATTTGAACAAACTTGAATCTACACTACCTGAGGATGCTTCCATATAGATAGGATCAATTATAGCTTTGTCATTCTTGAGAAGAAGATTTTTAAAGAATTTTCCTATACATTTCTATGTTAAACTTTGGAAGGCCATTGTGGCCCCACCCTACCCCCGGGGGTCATGATTTGAACAAACTTGAATCTACACTACCTGAGGATGTTTCCCCATAAGTTTCATCTTTCCTGGCACAGTGGTTCTTGAGAACAAGATTTTTAAAACATACCATCAAAGAGCAAGAGCCATCTTATGCATAAATTGGCCCTGTCCTTATATCAAATAATTAACTATCACCCTCTTTCCAATTTTATATGTCAAAATAAAGTAGACATTTGGTGCTTTCATTTTCTATAAAAAAATCGTTTTGAGAATTCAGATATTGGAAAACAAGTTTGTGAAATTGCAATGTTCTTGAAATTTGCTGAAAACATGCTTATTTGACTACCTTCAGCAAAAAATTAAAGTATGAGCACAGTCCACGATCCAAAAAATAAAACATGTTTTGTGATCTTCAGAAGCTGAGCTTTTATTATGTATTTGCATATTTTCGATCAGAGGTTGTGCTCTATATGAAATATTGAAAAAATTGCTTCAACGTCAGGCCATTTTCAGAGAAATTTACACGATATGAGGAAAATGACGCATTTTATGACGTCATAATGGATTGAGTAGATGGAAAATTACATCAAAATTAATAGATATGTGGTCACCAACACTCCAAGTGATAAATGCTGCATTTGCAACCTAAACTGAGCGGTTTTGATTTTTCGGAAATTCTCAGGGCCAAATTAGGCCCAACGTGGCTCAAGCTCTTTTCATTAATTTCCAATTATCTCCCCTTGAATGAGGGCATGACCCTTCATTTGAACAAACTTGAATCCCCTTCACCCAAGGATGCTTTGTTGGTTGAAATTGGTCCAGGGGTTCTTGAGAAGAAGTCGAAAATATGAAAAGTTTACAGACAGACAGATGGACAGACAGCTAGACAGACAACTAGATAGACGGACACTGGAAAAAATGTGATCAGAAAAGAGCTATAAATGAAACATTCCTCACCACAAAAGCCAGAAGAATAAAGGGACCACCACCAGTAACATGTTTCTGGGAAGAACCAAAGCCATAAGAGAATCCATGCAGAGATAAATATCAATAGTCCTGAAGCTTCAATGCAGGACCAAGTACGAGAATTGCTACAAACACTACTCCGGAGACTTACCTATTATCCTATGATTTAACGTGCTTTTCCCACTCTGCGGCTGGTTCCCTCATAAGCTGGTACCGAGGACAGTTCAGGATGTCCTGTCAACTTTATTCCTCAACTTCCTGTCTTGGACTGAAAAGCAATAAGTGAAAATCTTTAGTGTTGCCTAGTGACTTTTAATTAAAAAGAAAGTTGCAAGATTGTAAAGGGGGGTGGGGGGGGGGTATTGATGCTGTGCATTTTAATTACATGTACGAAATCTGTATTTCACAGTTTAATGCATTCATGTATTTTTGTGAATTGTCTTACATGTAATAATTGTTCCTATGTATTATTAAGCACTAAATCTATTCAACTGCATGTGTAAATGGGGAAAATGTGGATATGTAAATGATGTATAATTGCAATGTGTAAAATGTGACATTTTCTTATATGAGGGAGTCTGTTCTGACATGTAATTTTTTTTCATTAATTATTTTATTTATCTTGATAAAATTATTTCAATTAATAATTTTGTTTTTCTTACCTGTCTGATGAACTCAACAAAGGTTACAGAGGTGAATGGAAGAAATATGGGTATTATGGTTGTCAAAACTCTCCGATGTTGACCACACTGCATGCTGCACTGTAAAATCACCATTTTGGATCTTTAAAAGGGGAGGCTACTCCTGAAATCAAAGAAATTGTCGTAAAAATAAGTAACCTGATTTTTCTTTAGGTCTCACACAAGGAAATAATTTCACTATATATTACTACTGTAAACAGGGAAATTTTCGCCCCCGTTTAATTTTCGCCCCTTTCGCCCTAGTCTGGCGTGGGCGAATTTTAACGAGGCTGGGGTGTGGCAGCCATTTTCAGACTACTTTTATCTTCTTTAAAAGGAGAGCTTCATATGAAGATATAGAAAATGATCAAATTTTAAAACTAAAATGTATGAATTTTTTCTTTGTGAAATGATAGTAGACAGCTTAAATTACCATATCTAAAACAAGAGGCCCAGGGGCCACATCGCTCACATGAGCAATTGGCTAGGAAAAAGCACCTATCAGATCAGAACTGAAAGTTTACGGAGGGGGAGGGGGAAGGGGGCTTGAATTTTAACCCCCCAGGGGGTCATGATTTGAACAAACTTGAATCTACACTACCTGAGGATGATTCCCTATAAATATCACTAAGCATGACTTTGAATTACTTAAAAAGAATATTTTAAAAGGTTTCCCTATATATTCCTATGTAAAACTTTGATCGGCCATTTGGCCCCACCCTACCCCTGGGGTCATGTTGTGAACAAACTTGAATCTACACTACCTTGGGATGATTCCAAAGGAGTTTCATCTTTCCTGTCTCAAAGGTACCTGAGAAGAAGATTTTTCCTATTAATTCCTATGTAAAACTTTGTTCAGCTATTGTGGCCCTACCCTGCCCCTGGGGGTCATGATTTGGACAAACTTGAATCTACACTACCTGAGGATGATTCCACATAAGACTCATCTTTCCTGGCCCAGTGGTTCTTGAGAAGAAGATTTTTAAAGATATTTCCTATATATTCCTATGGAAAACTTTGACCGGCCATTTTGGCCCCACCCTACCCCAGGGGTTATGATTTGAACAAACTTGAATCTACACTACCTAAGGATGATTCCACATGAGATTCATATTTCCTGGCCCAGTGGTTCTTGTGAAGTTGATTTTTCTTGACTTTCCTTTATATTCCTAGTGTAAACTTTGCTCGTCCGTTTTGGCCCCACCCTACCCCTGGGGGTCATGATATGAACAAACTTGAATCTACACTACCTGAGGATGATTCCACATATGCTTCATCTTTCCAGACCCAGTGGTTCTTGAGAAGAAGATTTTTAAAGATTTTTCCTATATATTCCTATGTAAAACTTTGACCGGCCATTTTGGCCCCACCCTACCCCAGGGGTCATGATTTGAACAAACTTGAATCTACACTACCTAAGGATGATTCCACATGAGATTCATATTTCCAGACCCAGTGGTTCTTGAGAAGAAGATTTTTAAAGATATTTCCTATATATTCCTATGTAAAACTTTGACCGGCCATTTTGGCCCCACCCTACCCCAGGGGTCATGATTTGAACAAACTTGAATCTACACTACCTAAGGATGATTCCACATGAGATTCATATTTCCTGGCCCAGTGGTTCTTGAGAAGAAGATTTTTAAAGATTTTTCCTATATATTCCTATGTAAAACTTTGATCGGCCATTTTGGCCCCACCCTACCCCTGGGGGTCATGATATGAACAAACTTGAATCTACACTACCTGAGGATGATTCCACATATGCTTCATCTTTCCAGACCCAGTGGTTCTTGAGAAGAAGATTTTTAAAGATTTTTCCTATATATTCCTATGTAAAACTTTGACCGGCCATTTTGGCCCCACCCTACCCCTGGGGGTCATGATATGAACAAACTTGAATCTACACTACCTGAGGATGATTCCACATATGTTTCATCTTTCCAGGCCCAGTGGTTCTTGAGAAGAAGATTTTTAAAGATTTTTCCTATATATTCCTATGTAAAACTTTGATTGGCCATTTTGGCCCCACCCTACCCCTGGGGGTCATGATATGAACAAACTTGAATCTACACTACCTGAGGATGATTCCGCATGTGATTTATCTTTCCTGGTCCAGTGGTTCTTGAGAAGAAAATTTTTAAAAAGTTTTCCTATATATTCCTATGTAAAAATTTGATTGGCCATTTTGGCCCCACTCTACCCCTGGGGGTCATGATATGAACAAACATGAATCTACACTACCTGAGGATGATTCCACAAGAGTTTCATCTTTCCTGGCCCAGTGGTTCTTGACAAGAAGATTTTTTAAAAATGCCATTAATTTTTCTCTAATTCATAATTATCTCCCCTTGGAAAAGGGCGTGGCCCTTCATTTGAACAAACTTAAATCCCCTTTACCCAAGGATACTTTGTAGCAAGTTTGGTTGAAATTGGCCCAGTGGTTCTTGAGAAGAAGATGAAAATGTGAAAAGTTTACAACAACGACGACGACAACGACGACGACTACGACAACGACAGACAACGGACAAATTTTGATCAGAAAAGCTCACTTGAGCCTTTGGCTCAGGTGAGCTAAAAATAAGTTAAATCTGGTGGTTAATTAATGATTAATTTGTTGACCCCCCAGCCTCCTTAAACGGTCGAATTAAAAGTAAACTGCATAATATCTTAAACAAAAATCTTTTTGGGCGAATTTAAAACGGGGCAAACTTGTTTTCAGATGCGAGAGGGCGAAAATAACACGGGGCGAAAATAACCCTGCATACAGTATATAGCTTTAATTAAATAAATTAATTAACTAGACTCTCAGCAGATAATTCATGAATGAGAAAATAAAGATTAATGCTTAGACAAAAATTTGAGATCAGAAAAAATATACCCCTTTTGCGGCTTTTAAGAAAGAAAATTGAGAGTAAACATACCTATACCCCGAAATACACATAGGCAAACAGCCAACACACCATCGAGGAAGTTACATCGACCATGCATACCTAAAAAAAAAATTCTGTTTGATTCCGTGGCACAATTCTGCTGATATGATATTCCTAGTGCATGAGTTCAAACCTATACGTACATAAAGTTGCTGAAAATGAAAAAAGAAAAGAAATATTATTGTCTCTATATACATAGAACTACATTAGACTGAGTTCATTTTGATTGGCTATCTCCTTGCATAAGACCTTTAAGGGGTAATTTTATGCTATTTACCATGTGCACGGATTGCCATAAAACATAAGGAAAAATACCAGCCTTACAATTCACTTGACCTTGACCTTTGGCATACTTTACTAAGAATACCCAGGACAATTTGGTTTAACTTATGACTTTTGAATTTTTAGTGGCAGGTGTTGATAAAATAACCATTTAATATACTTCTGAGCTCATAAAACTGTTCTTTAAAACTGTATGATATAGAGTGTAAAAACTTTGAAACATATGTTTGGAAAGTATTATCGCACATATGATATGGGATAATATCACCACAGAAAGATCAAAGAAAATCACAGCAGATATGCGACAATAATTTTTATCATTGTTTATTGATTGTCAAGAATATGATATAGCATTACATATATTACGATTTTTTGAATTTATTATTTCAGGCTGTAAAAACAGTCAGCTTTCAAATATTAAGAATTTTTTAATACATTCACTGTAAAAATAATTGGACAAATTTGTGAATGTCAATAATCAATCATGCATGACAATTAATCTTTTTCTGACAGCCACCTTCTCCTAAAAATGTGTCTTGTTATTTATTTATTTATTGCAAAGTCGTCCCTGGACTACGGTCAATGGGCCAATTTCGAACCCTGCGTGGTGAGAGTTTGTCCCGAGACACAGTTAGATTATTCTAACTAGCACCTATATAAAATCATACCGATTAATCAACATCACTACAATATGAGGACCTTAAAATAGGATAAAATAAAACATTCTCCAACAGTTAGCCATTAGATTGTTTTTGATCATGTTGATGTCGTGAGTCAAGTTAATGTTCTTGATTCCCACTTTTCACGTTATGACTGACTTAATTAGTGCTTCGTGATACCAAAACAATACATTTTCAAAATATAGTATTACCTATAATTTTGACTTTAGGTTGAATTCGCTAATTTCACACTTGCAAAGTTGTGTGCATGCATCAGCCTCAGGATGTCGATCCCCGCTCTGCAGCTACTTTCGTTATCTCTAACCAATGAAAATTGTCCTTACTTTTCTGAAGTACTGTTGCGTGATATTGCACGCATCACTGAATTGTAGAACACACATCACAAGATTTCGAATATACATCACAAGATTATCGAACATACATAACAAGATTTCGAATATACATCACAAAATTTCGAACATACATCACAAGATTATAGAATATACATCACAAGATTTCGAATATACATCACAAGATTTCGATATCGAACATAAATCACAAGATTTCGAATATACATCACAAGATTTCGAACATGCATCACAAGATTATTGAATATACATCACGAGATTTTGAACTTACATCACAAGATTATAAAATATACATCACAAGTTTTTGAATATACATCACAAGATATTGAACATACATCACAAGATTTTGAATATAAATCACAAGATCACACAAGATTTCGAACATACATCATATGGCATGTCAAACGTTGCTATATTCGAAAATCTTCTGATGTATGTTCTAAATCTTGTGATATATATTCAAAATCTTGTGATGTATGTTCAATATCTTGTGATGTATATTCAAAATCTTGTGATGTATGTTCAATATCTTTTAATGTATATTCGAAATCTTGTAATGTATATTCTATTACTTGTGATGTATGCTCAATATCTTGTGATGTATATTCAAAATCCTGTGATGTATATTTAATAATCTTGTGATGTATGTTCAAAATCTTGTGATGTATATTCAATAATCTTGTGATGTGTTCGAAATCTTGTGATGTATATTCGAAATCTTGTGATGTATATTCTATAATCTTGCGATGTATATTCGAAATCTTGTGATGTATGTTCGAAATCTTGTGATGTATATTCGAAATCTTGTGATGTATATTCTATAATCTTGTGATGTATGTTCGAAATCTTGTGATGTATATTCGAAATCTTGTGATGTATGTTCGATAATCTTGTGATGTATATTCGAAATCTTGTGATGTGTGTTCTACAATTCAGTGATGCGTGCAATATGACGCAACAGTACTTCAGTAAAGTAAGGACAATTTTCATTGGTTGGAAATAACGAAAGTAGCCGGAACGGCGATCGACATCCTGAGGCTGATGCATGCGTGCACACAACTTTGCAAGTGTGAAATTGGCGAATTCAACCTTAAGTTAAATTATAGGTAAAACTATATTTTGAAAATGTATTGTTTTGGTATCACGAAGCACTAATTAAGTCAGTCATAACCTGATAACGTGAAAAGTGGGAATCAAGAACATTAATTTGACTCACGACATCAACATGATCAAAAACAATTTAATGGCTAACTGCTGGAGAATGTTTTATCCTATTTTAAGGTCCTCATATTGTAGTGATGTTGATTAATCGGTATGATTTTATATAGGTGCTAGTTAGAATAATCTAACTGTGTCTCGGGACAAACTCTCACCACGCAGGGTTCGAAATTGGCCTATTGACCGTAGCACTAGTCCAGGGACGACTTTGCAATAAATAAATAAATAACACGACAAATTTTTAGGAGAAGTTGGCTGTCAGGAAAAGATTAATTGTTATGCATGATTGATTATTTACATTCACAAATTTGTCCAATTATTTTCATAGTAAATGTATTAAAAATTTCTTAATATTTGAAAGCTGTTTTTACAGCCTGAAATAATAAATTCAAAAAATCGTAATATATGTAATGATAAATAATATATGTAATGATATATCATATTCTTGACAAGCAATAAACAATGATAAAAATTATTGTCGCATATCTGTGGTGATTTTCTTTGATCTTTCTGTGGTGATATTATCCCATATCACATGTGCGCGATAATACTTTCCAAACATGTTTCAAAGTTTTTACACTCTATATCATACAGTTTTAAAGAACAGTTTTATAAGCTCATAAGTATATTAAACGGTTATTTTATCAAAACCTGCCACTAAAAATTCAAAAGTCTTAAATTAAACCAAATTGTCCTGGGTATTCTTAGTAAAGTATGCCAAAGGTCAAGGTCAAGTGAATTGTAAGGCTGGTATTTTTCCTTATGTTTTATGGCAATCCGTGCACATGGTAAATAGCATAAAATTACCCCTTAAAGGTCTTATGCAAGGAGATAGCCAATCAAAATGAACTCAGTCTAATGTAGTTCTATGTCTATAGAGACAATAATATTTCTTTTCTTTTTTTATTTTCAGCAACTTTATGTAGGTCTACAGTTTTAATTTTGAACTCATGCACTAGGAATATCATATCAGCAGAATTGTGCCACTGAATCAAAGGGAATTTTTTTTAAGGTATGCATGATCGATGTAACTTCCTTGATGGTGTGTTGGCTGTTTGCCCATGTGTATTTCGGGGTATAGGTATGATTGCTCTCAATTTTCTTTCTTAAAAGCCGAATAAGGGGTATATTTTTTCTGATCTCAAATTTTTGTCTAAGTATTAATCTTTATTTTTTCATTCATGAATTATCTGCTGAGAGTCTAGTTAATTAATTTATTTAATTAAAGCTATATAGTAACATATAGTGAAATTATTTCCTTGTGTGAGACTTTAAGAAAAATCAGGTTACTTATTTTTACAACAATTTCTTTGATTTCAGGAGTAGCCTCCCCTTTTAAAGATCCAAAATGGTGATTTTACAGTGCAGCATTGGTCAACAACGGAGAGTTTTTACAACCATAATACCCATATTTCTACCATTCACCTCTGTAACCTTTGTTGAGTTCATCAGACAGGTAAGAAAAACAATATTATTAATTGAAATAATTTTATCAAGATAAATAAAATAATTAATGAAAAAAAAATTACATGAACAGACTCCCTCATATAAGAAAATGTCACATTTTACACATATTATACATCATTTACATATCCACATTTTCCCCATATACACATGCAGTTGAGTAGAATTAGTGCTTAATAATACATAGCAACAATTATTACATTTAAGACAATTCACAAAAATACATGAATGCATTAAACTGTGAAATACAGATTTCGTACATTTTATTAAAATGCACAGCATCAATACCCCCCCTCCCTTCACAATCTTGCAACTTTCTTTTTAATTCAAAGTCACTAGGCAACACTAAAGATTTTCACTTATTGCTTTTCAGTCCAAGACAGGAAGTTGAGGAATAAAGTTGACAGGACATCCTGAACTGTCCTCGGTACCAGCTTATGAGGGAACCAGCCGCAGAGTGGGAAAAGCACGTTACATCATAGGATAATAGGTAAGTCTCCGGAGTAGTGTTTGTAGCAATTCTCGTACCTGGTCCTGCATCGAAGCTTCAGGACTATTGATATTTATCTCTGCATGGATTCTCTTATGGCTTTGGTTCTTCCCAGAAACATGTTACTGGTGGTGGTCCCTATATTCTTCTGACTTTTGTGGTGAGGAATGTTTTATTTTAGCTCTTTTCTGATCACATTTTGTCCGGTGTCCGTCTATCTAGCTGTCTGTCCATCTGTCTGTCTGTAAACTTTTCATATTTTCGACTTCTTCTCAAGAACCCCTGGACCAATTTCAACCAAACTTGCCACAAAGCATCCTTGGGTGAAGGGGATTCAAGTTTATTCAAATGAAGGGCCATGCCCTCATTCAAGGGGAGATAATTGGAAATTAATGAAAAGAGCTTGAGCCACGTTGGGCCTAATTTGGCCCTGAGAATTTCCGAAAAATCAAAACCGCTCTGTTAAGGTTGCAAATGCAGCATTTATCACTTGGAGTGTTGGTGACCATGTATCTGTTAACCGTGACGTGATTTCCCACCAAGTCAATGCATTATGATGTCATAAAATGCGTCATTTTCCTCATATCGTGTAAATTTCTTTGAAAATGGCCTAACATTGAAGCATTTTTATGCCCCGCCATGAATATGGCCGGGGCATATAGTGTTTGTCATGTCCGTCTTCCGTCTTTCCGTCCTTCTGTCCTTCCGTCCTTCCGTCACACTTTGCGTTTAGCTCTGTTTAAAGCTAAGTTTCTTTGAAACTATCTAAGACATTTTCAACTTCATATGCTGATAGATATAGATGAGAGCTATGCAACTGCATCAACATTTTTTGACCCTGACCTTTCCTTTGACCTTGACTTCACTTTTCTTAAATTGGTGTTTAGCTCAGATTTGAACATACCATTCAAGATGGTGCTATCAAACTTCACATGTTGATACAAACTTGCACGGATGATGCATCTAGGGATGAAGACTTCCAGACTTGCTTCGGATGCTGGATCTGACCTACATTTTCCAGATAAGTGACCAGGTTAAAGTTTTTGGAGCAGGTCCATTTCCAAGGAACTATAAGCCCTACCCAATCCAAACTTTCATGGACGATGGATCTATTGATGAACACTACCAGACTTGCTTCGGATGCTGGATCTGACCTACATTTTTTTGATGAGTGACCAGGTTAAAGTTTTTGGAGCAGGTTCATTCCTAAGGAACTATAAGCCCTACCCAAATGAAACTTGCATAGATGATGCATATAGAGATGGACACTACCAGACTTGCTTTGGATGCTGAATCTGACCTACATTTTCATTCCCAAGTAACTGTAAGCCCTACCCGAACCAAACTTGCATGGATGATGCATCTAGGGATGGACACTACCAGACTTGCTTCAGATGCTGGATCTGACCTATATTTTCATTCCCAAGTAACTATAAGCCCTACCTGAACCAAACTTGCATGGATGATGCATCTAGGGATGGACACAACCGGATTGCTTCGGATGCTGAATCTGACCTATATTTTCATTCCCAAGTAACTATAAGCCCTGCCTGAACCAAACTTGCATGGATGATGCATCTATGGATGGACACTACCAGACTTGCTTCGGATGCTGGATCTGACCTACATTTTTATTCCCAAGTAACTTTAAGCCCTACCTGAACCAAACTTGCATGGATGATGCATCTAGGGATGGACAATAACAGACTTGCTTCGGCTGCTGGATCTGACCTACATTTTTATTCCTTAGTAACTATAACCCCTACCTGAACCAAACTGATCAAATTTTATACACATACAAATTTTCATGTTGCTTTACTAAATATCCTCGGCGGGGCATTCATGTCCTATGGATATATTTCTAGTTTTCAATATTTCATACAGAGCACAACCTCTGATCCAAAATATGCAAATACATACTAAAAGCTCAGCTTCTGAAGATCACAAAACATGTTTTATTTTTTGGATCGTGGACTGTGCTCATATTTTAATTTTTTGCTGAAGGTAGTCAAATACACATGTTTTCAGCAAATTTCAAGAACATTGCAATTTCACAAACTTGTTTTCCAATATCTGAATTCTCATAACGATTTTTTTTTTATAGAAAATGAAAGCACCAAATGTCTACTTTATTTTGACATATAAAATGGGAAAGAGGGTGATAGTTAATTATTTGATATAAGGACAGGGCCAATTTATGCATAAGATGGCTCTTGCTCTTTGATGGTATGTTTTAAAAATCTTGTTCTCAAGAACCACTGTGCCAGGAAAGATGAAACTTATGGGGAAACATCCTCAGGTAGTGTAGATTCAAGTTTGTTCAAATCATGACCCCCGGGGGTAGGGTGGGGCCACAATGGCCTTCCAAAGTTTAACATAGAAATATATAGGAAAATTCTTTAAAAATCTTCTTCTCAAGAATGACAAAGCCATAATTGATCCTATTTATATGGAAGCATCCTCAGGTAGTGTAGATTCAAGTTTGTTCAAATCATGACCCCCGGGGATAGGACGGGGCTACAAGGGATGATCAAATTTTTAAATAGAAATATATATGAAACTGTTATTTTGTTACTGACCGATGGTTAATTTTCATTGTGAACAAATGTACAAAGATGAGGAGCATAATATAGTTGGCTATGTATATTGCCTAATTTTTGAACATACTATGTAATAAATATTAATAATGATCTTTGAATAATTGGAAAGACAATATTATAAATATGATAGCATATTTGTACACGAGCATACATTTTTGAAAGGAAAGAAAATCATTCAAATGCATTAAAAAAAATATTTTGTTTCATATTCTTGCGAATTATCAGATCATTCTTCTATTATTCTAATACTCTGTCATTATGAAACCTTGTTAATAATTTAGTAAATATTAATCAAGTACATTTGCACCAATTTTTCCATGACACTTTCACACTAAGAATGCCACATGCAATTTTTTTTTACAGGAACAATTCTGAACAAATACAAATGTATTTGCAAGTGAATTGTAAATTTGAAATGTAATGCATACATTACAAAAACTATTACAGTGTTCACTAAAATTAAATGTATGGACTCTTATATTAATTACTTGGTATATGCATGACATGGATATTATGGATATTATTTTTGAGAATGACACAAGTAATGAATTTTTTCAGCATTGAAATGGATTCTTGAACCAGAGCCATGTGAACCTGGTCCACCTGTACCTCTAATTGAAGACCTATTAACATCACCAGAGTATGTTCATTCTGATACCCCTATGGTATGGTTACGACATGCATTATCCCTGTCAGATGAAGCCATTAAAAGAGCTGCAATGGAAACAACTGGGCAACGAGACAACCCAATGTGGTCGATTGTAAGGAAATACAGAATATCAGCTTCCAACTTTGGTGCAGTTCTCAGTTCTAAGCAAAGGCGGTAAGACGTGTGATTAAATTTTTGTGAAATAGACTTTTTAAATTACAGTCAAACTTTGTTATCTCAAACCTATTATCTCAAATTCCATGGATATGTCAAAGTAATTTTGAAGTCCAAACCATTTATAAAAGACTGGGACATTTTATTCTCGATAACTCTTTATGTATTATTCTTGAATCCACGGATATTTCCAACATTTTTCTTGGTCTCATTGAGTTTGAGATAATTAGGTTTGACTGTAATGGCTAGACATTTATACTCCCGCTCCGAAGGAGAGGGGGGTATACTGTTTTATCCTTGTGTGTCTGTCCGTGTGTCAGTGTCTTCGTGTGTCTGTGTGTCCGTCCGAAATAAATTTTTGTCACAGTTTTCTCAGCAACTACTCATCGTAGATGCTTGAAATTTTAACACAGTCTTCTCTGAGGCATGCCATATGGTGGGATACATTTTCGCTGAAATCCGATGTCAACTTCCTGTTTGTCTGTGCGTCTGTCCTTTTCATACATAACAAATTTTCGTCACAGTTTTCTCTGCAACTACTCGTTGTAGATGCTTGAAATTTTTACAAAATCTTCTCTGAGGTATGCCATATCTTGGGATACCCGGTACATTTTTTTTCAAATCAGATATCAACTTCCTGTTTGTCTGTCTGTATCACACAACAAATTTTCGTCGCAGTTTTCTCATTAGCTATTCATAGCGGATGCTTGAAATTTTATTACACCTTTTGTTGAGGCATGCCATATGGTGGGATTAATTTTGATATGAATCTGATGTCAACTTCATATTTTTCTGTGCATCTGCTTGTAATTGAACTTGGGTATATATATTTTAAAACATGATAGTGCTTATTTACATCAGAGCGGGGGTATTACTAGTGAGCATTGGCTCACAGATTTATGTACATATAGATGCAGGAAATATAAGATTAATAACCAACAATAGGCTCATGGGCCACATCGCTCACCTGAGAAGCTTTGACCATTCTGTTCTTTACCAGATTTCCCCCTTGTAATACATAAAGCATCCCCACCCTACCCCACTGATCATAATTAAGACATTTTGAAATCTACACTGACCCATGATCCTTCCATGTGCACATAAGTTTCAGCTTTTCTGGCCCAGTGGTTCTTGAGAAGAAGATTTTCAAAGATTTTTCCTATATATTTCTATATAAAACTTTGATTCCCCATTGTGGTCCCGCCCTTCCCCCCCGGGGGGGGGGTCATTATTTGAACACTTTAGAATCTACATTTTACCAGGATGCTTCCACATAAGTTTCAGCTTTTCTGGCCCAGTGGTTCTTGAGGAGAAGATTTTTTAATGACCCCAACCTATTTTTGTCTTTTCTTGATTATCTCCCCTTTTGAGAGGACTTGGCCCTGTATTTTAACAATTTTTATTCCCCTTTACCCAAGGATGCTTTGTACTAAGTTTGGTCAAAATTGACATAGTGGTTCTTGAGAAGAGGTCGAAAATGTGAAAAGTTTACAGACGGACAGACAGACGGACAGATGACGGACAAGATGTGATCAGAAAAGCTCACTTGAGCCTTTGGCTCAGGTGCGCTAAAAATCATATTTTCTTCTTCAGATTGACATTGTCACTGAAAAAACGGCTTATGTCAGCTTACAATCTGGAGTCCATCAAGGCTGTTGCATGGGGTATCACTCATGAAGATGATGCTTTGAGAAAGTATGAAAAGGACTTTGATGCAGCTGTAGAGCAGTCAGGTATACAGCACAAAATAATATTCCTTCAATCTCTGACATGTTAACATTCATTGTGTCAAAACAAATAACAGGACTTATCCTAGTGACAAACAGAAATTAATTACTGAAGTCCAATTGTAAAAAAATATTCAATTACCAACATATTCCAGAAAATTTGCTGGGAATCTTTTTGAAGTGGAAGGATTATAAAAGCTCTAATTAGACTTTGTTTGCATTACAAAATCAATTGTACATGTATTATGGTTTGTTTGCATTCAGTAGTATTATAATTTTTTCTGAAAGGGATATGGTTGCATGAATCCAGAGTATTGGGAGCTTCACCTGATGGCTTAGTTGTTCGACCACCAACATGCAGTGTATTTTATCAAACTCCAGAAGCCAAAGACGCCATTCCTGATATTGTAGAGGTGAAGTGTCCATATCCAGCATCATCTTCAACAGTAGCAGATGGGGCACAAAATTTGAAGGATTTTTTCATAGGTAAATAACAATTTATAAGTTGGATTAAAAATCTGTATTGTCCAGTACTTTGAAATTAAAAATTTTGGTAAATGATTTCAATACATGTATTAATTTACAAGTGCAACTGTTCAATATGGTATGAAGATGTGGAAAAAGGAGGGGATATGAATTGGTATAACACAACTTAAGTGTTGTTTGATTTTTTTAGATCTTAAACAAGATACCCTGTGCCTGAAAACCAGTCACCCATACTATCATCAAATTCAAGGCCAACTACACATATGTAACAAAACATGCTTCGACTTAATTGTGTGGACAAGAGTAGACTGCATTGTGATTAGAATAGTAAAAGACATTTAATGGACAGCAAATGTTTCAAAGCTGATAGATTTCTACTTTAACATTTTCATTCCAGCACTGATGGAAAACTGAGTTCTGGTTTGAACTTCTTGACACTTGGTTTTGTACCTCTAGAATTGTACCTCTAGAATTTTCTAACAATGGAAAATGGGTAATCATGTTAAACGTGTTGAATGTTCCTAAGTCTTATAAATGTATGATATGATGTGTCACAATCCATCATAAAACTTCTGGCTTATAAGACTACTTTAAATAGCAATGATGATTAATAAAATCTATGTACTACACAAAAAAGAATATCAAAATTTAGAATCATTTTATTAATGAATTGAAGATGTTATTCTCAAAGTGAAAATGTAACATTTTTGTCTTTGTTAATAAATTGTTGAAAACATGAATTTGTTGAGTTGTGCTTTAAAGGTAAATATACTTGAAACTAGAGATTTAAAATTATAAGTAAACCCTCTTCCAAATTATATTGTCAAATGAAGAATGGAATTGCCAAACATTCTTGTAATAAAAACGTACTGTCACACACCAATGCAAATCTATAATAAGTAATTTCTTTCAAAAGTGGAGCTTGCAAGTTTACAAGACAAGAACAGAGTTGAAATATTTTTGTTGAGATTGGTCTGTAAGTAGATGGGATGTGACGGAGAATCTTGTAATTCTTTATCCTCTCTTTGGCTCTTTCCGCATGAATACGTGCTTTAGCAATCTTGTAACACAGTGCTGCTTCTTGTTTGGTAAACTGGCCTCATGTCTATAAAAAAGCTGGTATATTAAAGCAGACACCCTGGGGCAACTGGTCATGAATGGTGAAACCTTTGTCCGCCAAAATAAGGTCTCCAGCTTTGAACTTTCGTAAAACTTGGCTGTGACGTACAATAGCTACATCAGAAGTAGAACCTGGGTACAGCATGTAGCAAAATGTAAGTGCACCGTTTGGAGCCATGCAAGTCACTGCTTTAACAGTATGGCGACTTTTGTACATACTGTAGGCCATGGCCTGATTGTCCATATGTGTTGGGATGTCCTGGGTTGTTTCAATTGCATCCATGGATGCTCTAGCAGAGGAAAAATCCTCGAAAGATTTTGGCAGAGACCCTGAAAAAAAGTTGGAAAAAAATTAATTTGATTATTTGTAATTGTGTAAAAAAGATTGTGTTAGGCCTAGAAAAAAATATGTTTGTTTCCGCTTTCAGGCTGAAAATATATAGGGTACGTAGGGAAAAATTTTTTTTTTGAGAAAATTTTTTTTTTGCTTCTTTAATCAAAAAATCAAAACATGTATAGAAATTAACATTAATGACAAAAGAAATGGTGTTTTTAAGCATTTCTGTGACTTAAACTGATAATAGAAAGGTGACCCAAATTCTTTCCGTCTTGAAAAGCTTGCAAAGTTGGATACATCATGGGACAAAAGCATTAAAAAAATATTTTGGGTCGGCACTATAAATTAGGGTCGGTAAAAGCGGAAATAAACATATTTTTTTTCTGGGCCTTACAGTCAAACTTTCAAGAAGACAATAAATGTAACTGCATAAAATTTTTGCAATTCATAGTGATAAATTTTAAAACAAACCTTTGCATTTTAGCTGACTTGGAAAACATTCATTAACTACGCCATCAGACAGCATCTTGTGTAGTGCATGGCGCATGAACAAGGGTATGAAAGATGTTCAAAACTGTTGGTCGACTGACACAGAATCTATGAGCCAAGTCAGTGTCCCACAGATTGAGTTTTAACTTCACTTGTACAATGAGCAGTTGGTCCTCTGTTTTCATTGAAGGAGTCCAGCCATTATAATAATCGAGTTCAAACCGCTGTAACAATCTGACTTAAGATTTCGAATATGTCATACTGTAGGGATGTATACAAAAGCATCTGAAAATAAATTTGTTTTAATACTGATTAAAATATTTCCAAAAACTGAAAAGATTGTAAATAAATTAGTTTCAAGTAATAACAATATTAGTCACAGTCAGGTTTGCTACTATCCATACTATGCATTTATTTAAAAACTGTTGAAATGAGACATTTAGTGTTCTGATAAAAAATTGTCGTCATAGAGTAAAACATGGTTTATACAGAGAAGGTTTTAGATATTATTCATCCAAAGAGCAAATTAAATGATTTTTTTCTCTGTTATTTTAAATTGCATATTATGAACTCAACAATAATAACAAAATATGTTAACATAACAGTCAATCTAAGATGTTCATCCCTCAACGGCAACAAGTTTTACTGAAATTGTTAGGAAATAGAAAATCACAATTGGAATTCCTTTAAATGTACCTTCTCTTTGTTGTCTTTAATATTGTGAATTGACATTGGCTTCCTTTAACTAGACTCGATTTTTAGGGCAAGCAATTCCTTTTCCAGTTGCTGTATTTCTGTTGAGAGGCGCTGCTTTTCTTGAGTACAGTTAAATGTGCAGGATGCTGAGTAGTTGTGCTCTGATATCAACTGAAAATATATTGTAAATCATGAGTAATTCGATGTACAGTTAAAAGAACTGTTATATTATTAAATTTAAAAATTATTGAAAATCTTTCAGTGTTGGTCATTTGTCATCAATGGTGTTTTAAATGAGCTTTACTTTTTCTTGATCTTGACATTTTGGTGCTTGTGGAATCTGCAACTGGTCCATCTGTGAAGATGACAGGGACTCCTCACTTTTGAGTTTTTTCCTCCTTTGTAAAATAATTAAACTTGAATTATTTTTTATGCCCCCGTAAACGTAGTTTCAGGGGCATATAGTTTTTGTCGTGTCTGTCTGTCTGTCTCTCTGTTTGTCTGTTTGTCCGCAAAACTTTAACCTTGCCCATAACTTTTGAATTAGAGGAGCTATGACTTTCATATTTCATATGTATATTCCTTGTGACAAGATCATTCTTTAGGTACCACCAAATTTGACCTTTTGACCTTGACCTTGGAGTTTGACCCACTTTTACATGAAAATTTTAAAATTTTACTTTGGCCATATCTTTTGAACAGTAGACACCAGGACATTTATACTTCACATATGTAATGTTTGTTAAAAGACCTTTCACTAAATACCAACAACCTTGGCCCTTTGACCTTGACCTTGTAGATTTCTGTACTAGTGAAAAAACTCTAACCTTGGCCATAACTTTTGAACGGTAAGGGATACGGCTTTCATACTTCATATATGTAATTCTTTTGAGAAGACCCTTAATTGGATACCAAGAACTTGGACCTTTTGACCTTGACCTTTGAGACTGACCTACTTTAAAAAAGCAAACCTTGACCATAACTTTTAAAGAGTTAGGGCCAGTGCTTTCATACTTTACATATTTGATCCTTATGACAAGACCTTACATTTTATAACAATAATTTTGACACATTGACCTTGACCTTGGAGTTCGACCTACTTTTTTAGAAATTGAACGTTGACCATAACCTCTGAACGGTTAGGGCTAGGGCTTTCATGCTCTACATAAGTATTTTATGTGGCAAGACCTTTCATTTGATACTAATTACATATGACCTTGGGGATTTTTGTACTTATTGAAAAAACTTTAACATCGGCCTGCTTTCAAATTTCACAATTGTTTTCCAGTGAGAATACCCTACTTTTGGTACCAATTAATTAAATTTGCATTTAAGAAAAGCTTAATCTTTGCTATGTTGCCATACGGGGGCATCAGTGTTTTACAAACACATCTTGTTTATTCAGTTGTAAGCTTCTCTGTTTATACATGTACCCTTTTAAAGATTTTTAGTAAAATATTCTCAATAAAACTCCATCCACCCACCATCTAAAAACAAGATGTCGGTCATATTTTGAAAAATAACTTCAACTTTGTGTACATTCAGGATCAGAGAAATTCATGGCCTTTCCTTCATTCCATGCAAAATATGCAGGGCCCCCCTCCTTCTTACCATCCTTAAAGTGGCAGGAGCAGATGCTATCATTTTGATCTCCTGGTTGGCGATCAGCTCGTCTAAAAATATATTTATATACAAAGACTGAGTGAAGGAGAATTAAAAAGCAAAACATGTTCATTTGGCATGTTATTATCAAATCATAGCCTAAATGACTTATTTTTTCATTATTTTATTTAATGTTACATTTACTTGCAAGTACAAGATAACCATGTGCATAACATTAACAAACGGTAGCAGTACTTGGTAGTAATAATACGAAATAAAATGTAATAAAAACAGCTGTTAAACAAAAATTAACCTTGTTACAAATTGCACAGTTTTTGTAGAATTTACTTTTCATTATTCTTCTGCTATATGTAAGAGTTACATGATGACACGAGATGATGCATACAAAATATCGTTGAGTTATTGCACGCGAGGAGGCCTTAGCCTCCGAGTTTGCAATAACGAAACGATATTTTGTATGCATCATCGAGCTGTCAATCATGTAACTGATTTATCCCATGACCCTTCATTTGACCTTTTCCCATATTTGGTATTTTCTTTGCATCAACTAATAAAGACTCTGAAACAGAACCACGTGATAGTCTTAACGCGAAGTGTTTTTGGTATCGAAGTAACGGATTTACAAATTTGGTAATTTTCATAGCACTGTACCACGTGATCAGTTTCTTGAGATAATCAATTCATTTGTTCCATGATCTGGCGAAAATGACAGAATGGGTCAAGCGTAAAGAATCGTCGTTTTTCAGCAAGCCTACGACGTGGATAATTTTCAATCGAGTCAAGCAGTTCAGATGTATGAACTCGGGCGATCGGTTTTAATTGGCCCGTGGGGCCAAGACTTTATGAATTTCGATTTACAGAATTGGTATTTGGGATCGTTCCCGGAATTGAAACGGGGAAAATTTACGGAATGGACTGATAATACTATAGATTCGGAGAACATGTGTCGGCCATTGAAATGAGTGCGCTTAGAAAAATCAAGTAAAACCACGAGCCGTTACACTTCATGGGCAGTCAACATGGTTCAAGTGTTCAACGACTGGAAATCTCAGCGAAACAGCAGCTTGGTGAGTTTAAAATAATTCCCGAAATACTCACTAGTAAATACCAAGAACTTGCGTAGTTTATATGTCACGTTTTGTGCACTGTATTTGAAGCCAGGGGCGCATACGGATTCCCCTACCCCCGAGGACTTTATATCCGATTTGTTCCAATATTCTATGGTACATGAGAGCAAGTTGTTCATGATATGAACTTTTCAGAGGATGCCAGGAAGGAAAATGCTACTATTGAATGTGCGAATTCCTATCATAGGAGAGGATCACTAGCTTTATATTCTTTATTAAGTTTTCCTTGTTTCCATTTTTTGATCATATGCAAGATGTTTTGGGATACCGTAAGAGATTCTAATTTTTTTGAATTCACAACAAGGCCATCAATAC